GAGGAGGAGGAGGAGGAGGAGGAGGAGGAGGGAGGAGGAGGGGTGGAGGGCGGGCCTGGGGATGGGGGGAGGGGAGTGAGGGATGGAGGAGGATGCGGGATCGGGACGGGACGAGGGGGGGGATGAGGATGACTATGGGGAGGAGAGGGGGAGGAGGAGGAGGAAGAAGGAGGAGGAGGAGGAGGAGGAGGAGGAGGAAGGAGGAGGAGGAGGAGGAGGAGGAGGAGGAGGAGGGGGAGGAGGAGGAAGGACGAGGAGGGAGGAGGAAGGAGGAGGAGAGGAGGAGGAGGAGGAGGGAGGGAGGAGGGAGGGAGGAGGAATGGGATAATCAGTCAGGGGAGGTAGGGGAACGAGGAGGAGAAAAGGGGAGCAGATCCATCCCTCCTCTCCCCTCCTACTCCTCCTCCTCCTCCTTCTCTGCAGGATGATGCGACGTCTTGATTTTTGTAGATGCGTGGCTCCTGGATGTCTCGACACTTTCCCCGGGACAGATTTCTCATGCCGAGTCGGGTTTGGGCGGTCCTGGGGGTCTTGCGAGGGCCCCAAAGGCCGCAAACGACGAAACGCCGCAGCCCTGATGTCAGGACGTTGCCTCCCCCCTCTCTCACCCATCCCTATCCCCCCCCCTCTCCTCCTCCCCCCTCTCTCCCCCCTCTCCCCACCCCCTCTTTTCGAGATAATGTTTTACTGCGGCCAGATGGGCTGTTGTGCGGTCCGGTGGGCTTTAGTATGGCCATGAGACCTCTGGAGGATGCAAATCCTCGAGTACGTTGAAGGCCCCCTTGAAGGGCTTTTTGGCCCCCCTGAGGAGCTTCTTGGCCCCCCTGGAAGATTTCTTGGCCCTTCAGGGGGGGGCATGATCGCCAAAGAGGCCCCCATGACGGCCCCAAGAAGGGCTCAAGAGGGGGAACGCGAATCAACGATTCGAGCCTTGCGCCCCAGGAGGCCCCCTGGAGACGCCGAGCGGCCCCCAGGGGAGCCCCAGATGCCCCCCAGAGGCCGAAAAAGAGGCCTCCAAATGGTCCCCAAGAGGCTTCCAAAACTGCCTCCAAGAGGCCCCCGAGAGGCCTGCCACGACGTCCAAACGAACTTCCAAGAGGTCTCTAATCCACAACCCAGGCACGGTGGCGGGATGTGCCGAAGGCCACAAAGACGTTCCGAGACGGCCTCCAGACGGCCGGCCCAAGAGGCCCCAAGATACCCAAGAGGCCTCCAAGAGGTTTCCCCAGAGAGCTCGAGGAGGCCAGCAAACATTTCTTTTCCATAGGTTTTTGAACAGCTTTGGCGTGTACGCTTGTCATGGAGGGGATGGAGTCGACGGATCAGGAGTTGCATCTGTCCTCATATCATTGTCGCCGCTTCTGCGCGCCCGAAGAGGGAGCAGGAGGTTTATATATTTTGAATACTTCGCACGGCAGTGGGCATATGAGAAGAACGGTGGTCGTTGGCGCCACGATGTGGTCCACCTGTTGCCGGGCGGGGGCTGTCCCTCCGTTGGCGGCTACTATTATGCGTGCTCCAGCTCATTGACACAGACTGATTTCTTCGCACGGCAGTCTGCATCTTAGAGGAATAGTAGCGCCCTGCCGTCCCCAGGCATTTTCAATTGTGACTGTTGCGCCAGGCAGTGGACATCTTAGCATAATGGTGGCCGTTGGCGCCACGATGTGGTCCACGTATGGCCAGGCGGGGGCTGTCCCGCCGTTGGTGACCATCATTGTGCATGCCCACGCCTTTCTTCAACATAACCAGACAGGGCCTTCAGCGAGCGACGATGATGATGGCGATAATGATGACGGTGATCATCATTATCATCATTAGCACCGCGTCATGATCATGACGAGGATGATCATGATGATCATGATGATCATGATGATCATGATAATGATGATGATGATGATGATGATGATGATGATGATGATGATGATGATGATGATGATGATGATGATGATGATGATGATGATGATGATGATGCTGATGATGATGATGATACTGATGATGATGATGATCATGATGATCATGATGATCATGATGATCATGTCTGTGCGGATGGTGGTGATGACCATATTGATCATGATAACCACTGAGACCACCACAATCATGATGATCATGCTTATTAGCATGATCATGATACTCCTCCCCTCCCCCTTCTCCCTCTCACCTCCCTGACTTCGTCCTGACGGAGGAGGAGGATGGAGGAGGACTTTCCGCTGACGGAGGAGGATGAGGAGGATCAAGAGGATGAAGACGAGCATGATTGTGGTGCTAATGCCGATCGTGCTTCTGACGATGATGTTGTTGCTGATGATGCTGGTGGTGCCGATGCTGATGCTGAAGCTGAATATGATGATTAGGAGGACGATGCCGATGATGACGACGGTGACGATGACGATGATGATGGCGATGGTCATGATGATAATGAGGATGATGGTGATGATGATGCTGATGATGATGCTGCTGCTGCTGATGATGATGATGATGATTATGAAGATGATGACGCCAACCGCGGTGACGACGATGACGATAACGATGACAATGATGATGGTGATGTTGATCACATCATCATCATGGTCATGACGGTGATGATCCTGATGATCATGATGATGCTGCTGATGATGATGATGCTGTTGATGACGATGATGCTCATGATGATGGTGATGATGATCATGATGATCCTGATGATCATGAGGATCATGATGATCATGATGATCATATCCGTGCGGATGATGATGGTGACCATGCTGACCATGATAACTACGAAGATCATCACATCCATGATGATCATGACGATCATCATGATCATGATACTCCTCGCCTTCCCATTTCTCCCTCTCACCTCCGTGACTTCCTGCTCACGGAGGAGGAAGATGGAGGAGGACTTTCTGCTGACGGAGGAGGATGAGGAGGATCAAGAGGATGAGGACGAGCATGATTTTGGTGTTAATGCCGATCGTGCTTATGATGATGATGATGATGATGATGATGATGATGATGATGATGTTGTTGCTGATGATGCTGGTGGTGCAGATGCTGATGCTGAAGCTGAATCTGATGATTACGTGGACGGTGCCGACGACGAGGACCATGACGATGATGACGATGATGATGATGATGACGATGACGATGATGATGATGATGATGATGATGATGATGACGATGATGATGATGATGATGACGATGATGATGATGATGATGATGATGATGATGATGATGCTGATGATGATGATGATGATGATGATGATGATGATTATGCCGATGACGATGATGGTGGTGGTGGTGATGATGATGCTGATGATGATGACGCCAGTGGCGGTGACGACGATGACGATGATTATAGTGATGATGATCATGATGATCATGTCCGTGCGGATGGTGATGATGACCATGTTGATCATGATAACCACTGAGATCATCACAATCATGATGATCATGCTTGTTAGCATGATCATGATACTCCTCCCCTCCCCCTTCTCCCTCTCACCTCCCTGACTTCGTCCTGACGGAGGAGGATGGAGGAGGACTTTCCGCTGACGGAGGAGGAGGATGAGGAGGATCAAGAGGATGAAGACGAGCATGATTTTGGTGTTAATGCCGATCGTGCTTATGATGATGATGATGATGATGATGATGATGATGATGATGATGATGTTGTTGCTGATGATGCTGGTGGTGCAGATGCTGATGCTGAAGCTGAATATGATGATTAGAAGGACGATGCCGATGACGACGACGATGACGATGACGATTGTGATGATGACGATAACGATGACAATGGTGATGTTGATGATGATGCTGATGATGATGATGATGATTATGATGCTGCTGATGATGATGATTATGATGCTGCTGATGATGATGATGATGACGCCTCCAGATGGTCCTTTGTGCGGGCACCTCCTCCTGGGCGGGAACGCAATCCCTTAAGTTTGCCAGGATGTCCAAAGATAAGAAATGAAAACTTTAATATTACTTTTAATTGAAGGGCCAGCCCGAGCCGCAGTAAGACCCACTTGGCCGCGCGCCGGGCTATAGAAGAACCCAACGGGCCGCACACAAGACCAACATGCCGCACAAAAAAACACCCGCCCCTCTTCTCCACCCCCATCCCTTTCCCCTCCCCCCCCTAACTAGTACACAAAGTGAATACTATTCTCCTTTCTCCCCTGATGATGTGCGGAAGATGTCCGGCCCCCCTCCGCGTATTACTGTCTTAACACACAGGATTCCCAGGAGTTGGGTTTTCGTTTGGGTTTTTTTTCAAAATGCTGCTCCCGCTGAAGCGCTGGTCTGATTTCGGGCTTCCGCTCGTTCCGAATCGTGCTCCCGCTGCAGCTCTTGCCTCATTTCCGCGGTTCCCCTCGTTCCGAATTGTGCTACTGTGCTCCCGCTGTAGCGCTGGACTCATTTCCGAGCTTCCGCTCGTTCCGAGTCGTGCTCCTGCTGCAGCGTTGGCTTCATTATTTCATTTCCAGGGCCATGTCACGGCGTGGTTTTCGGTCCTTCGAAATGGGCCCCAAAATCTAGAACATGCTCCCGAAAAAACAATCGGAAGTGATTACACATTTGGTGTCGATTCGTTGGTTTTTTGGGCCGCCATTTTGGGGCGGGCGTACGCCATGCTATGTCATGCTACGCGTTGATCTGCAACACCATGCTATGCCATGTACTGCTGTGCCCTGCTGCGACATCCGACTGTGCGAATAGAGAGGAGGTCTACTCCATGGTAAGGGATGGGAGGGAGGGGTAGGACGTCAGATATGACGCGAGCGCACCTAGCTTGCCTCCCCCCCCTCTCCACCCCCCTTTTGCCCCCGCGCCCTCGCCCCCTCTCTCCCCTCTCTCTCCCCCCTCTCTCTCCCCCCTCTCTATCCTCCCTCTCCCCCCCTCGCCCACCCCCCCCCTTCCTCCCCGTGGGCTCCCCCCCCCTTCCCCGGGGAGGCGGAGGAGGAGGAGGAGGAGAAGGAGGAGGAGAAGGACCCCCTCCCCCCCCGGCCCTGGAGGCCGCCAGCCGACGGGACCGGCGACGCCGAGGAGGGCAACGACAACAACAAGCCGCCCTCCCCGTCGGGGGAGGCGAGTACGCCCACGCCGCCCGACGACAGCCCCCACGGCAGCACCGAGGAGGGCAGCCCCCCCCCCCCGCACTCCACGCTTTCGCCGTCTCCTTATTCTTCTTATGCTTAGTCGTCTTCTTCTTATCATTGTTCTCAGTCGTCTTCTGATTGTTATGTATTTGTATTATTCTTCTTCTCTTTCTCATGATTCTTTTTTTCTCGGTCCTCGTCTTCTTATTCTGCTGGTTCCTCTTCTGCTTCCCTTCACCCTCATCAGAAGATTTGGCGTCCTCTTCTCGTTCCTGTTCTTTTACCGCCTCCTCCCTTCTTCTTGTTCGGTTCTCTTTTCTTTTCAGCGCAAGCAGCCAGCATTGTTGGCCCTTCCCCAGGCCTCGGGCGGCCCTTCCCATAGCCAGAGGCCTCCTTTTTCCTTTTGCGTCGCTGCCATCGCAGCTTCAACATGCTGCCCGCCGTGTAGCCAACACAGTCGCAATACTCGTAACTCCGTAAGTCCTCCCTCATGCTCCTCGCTCTCTTCCTCCTCTTCTGCAGCACTCGCAGCTTTGATCTGCTTCCTGCCTGTCACCCCACGCAGTCGCAATACTTGTACCTCTGTAGCTCCCTCCTCCTCATTCTCGTCCGCTTCCTTTTTCCTACTCATGTTCCTCATTTCTGCTCTCTTCCTTGTCCTCGTATTCCTCCTTCGCCTCCTTGTCCCGCAGGACAGCGGAGGCAGTGGCGGTGGTGACAGCGTGAACCTGTACATCAAGCTGGTGAAGTCGTCAGCGTCGCCGTCGCCGTCGCAATCTGTGTCGTCGTCGCCGTCGTCCGTCGTCCGTCGTCCGTTTCGCCGTGTTCGCTGCCGTTGTCGCCGTCGTCGCCGTCGTCCGTCGTTCGTCGTCGTTGCCGTAGCTGTCACCGTCGCTGTCGCCGTCGCCGTCGTCGCCGCTGACGCCCTCGTCGTCGTCGTCGTCGTTCTTGTCGTCGTCGTCGTCGTTCGCCGCGGCAGCGGCGGCGCCACCTCCAGGAGGAGAGTGAGGGACGAGGGATCAGCAGGGAGGAGAACGAGGATGAGGAGGAGGAGGAGGAGGAGGAGGAGGGGGAGGAGGAGGAGGAGGAGGAGGACGAGGAGGAGGAGGGGGAGGAGGAGGAGGAGAACGAGGAGGAGGAGGAGCGGAGCGGAGCGGAGCGGAGCGAAGCGGAGGCGCTGGTTCCGGGCACTGGGTGTGCCCGTGCCCTTTGGGCAAGGCGCAAGAGGCCGTAGCCTCAGACCGTGTGGGTGCAGAAGCTCTGGATGGCATAGTTCACGAAATGGAACAAATAGAGCGTGTGGTCGAAATGGGACATCAAACGGCACACATAGAATGTGTGGTCGAAGTAGTACACGAGCTGGCGCGAATAGAAGACAATGACGACGGAGTTCAGGATTATGTTTGTGGTCGGTGTTGCTTGTCTGTGGTCAGTGCTGGTGGTCGGTTCCTGTGTTCTGGTCAGTGTTGTTGGTCGGTGCCACGTGATGGTGGTCAGTGTGGGTCCGTGGTGGTCGATGCTGGTGTTCGGTGGTGGTCGGTGGCGTTTGGTGCTGGTGGCGCTGCTGGTCGTTGGTTGATGTCGGTGGTTGGAGCTGAGTCGGTGCTGTCGGTGTTTTGCTGCTGCTGTTGATGTGGTCGATGCCTGTACTGGCGTTGCTGGTGCCGCTGTTTGGTTTCGTTGCTGCTGTTGTTGGACGGTTTGCGCAGTCAACTGGCGTATGCAAGGAACCACTTCCATGTGCGTCCCACCACGTCGGTTCCGTTGCGGCTGTCAACCATCTTACGTCGTTGCTGTCGTAGTGGGTATACTGCCGTGGGCGAGTGGCTTCGTTGGTGTTGCCTTGTGTGGCTGCGTCGTTGGTGGTCTGATGCAAACTTTGGAGAAACTTTCGAATGTCGTCGTCCCACCGCTTTTGTTGACCACCATGTTGCCGATGGCCCTGCTGTCTCCCGTCGAGAGAAGGGTTCCAGTTCAGTGCTCGTTGTGTCCATCGGTTCGATGGGTTTTGTGCTACCCGTGCGGCCCAGCGCCAGACCTTTTTTTCTGTGTATCTGCTCCACGTCGGGGATGTCGTGCATGCTCATTAGCTCCTCGGCTCTGCGCGTGCTACGGCGGACGGAATCGGACCACAGCTCGCTGTCGTCCGTCGTCTGCGCGCGGGCATGGTGATGGTCGTCGCTAGGGTCTTCGCGCGGAGTAGGCGGGTTGCTGGATGCGTCGTGATCGATGGAGTCGTTGAGGTCGTCGCTGCTGGGGTTGTGGTCGTTATGGTTGCCCGTGGGCGGGGTGGGGCGTGTTGACGTGAGAGTGTTCGTGCGCCTTCTCGGTGTTCCGATGATCGCTCTGACCATTCGTCGTTGTGTGCGGCGTAACTGTTGTCTGGAGGAGGAAGAGAAGGAGGAGGAGGAGAATTAGGGGAGCGATGGAGGAGGAGCAGGAGGAGGAAGAGGAAACGAAGGATGATGAGGAGGAGCAGGATCAGGATCAGGATCAGGATCAGGATGATGATGATGATGATGATGATGATGATGATGATGATGATGATGATCATGATGATGATGATGATGATGATGATGATGATGATGATGATGATGATGATGATGATGATGATGATGATGATGATGATGATGATGATGATGATGATGATGATGATGATGATGATGATGATGATGATGTTGATGATGATGATGATGATGATGATGATGATGATGATGAATATGATGATGATGATGATGCTGATGATGATGATGATGATGATGATGATGCTGATGCTGATGCTGATGCTGATGCTGATGCTGATGCTGATGCTGATGCTGATGCTGATGCTGATGCTGATACTGATACTGATGCTGATGATGAGGAGGAGGAGGAGGTGATGATTGTGATTTCGATTATCGTTATGATTGATGAGACGAGATGTGAGGTGTGGTGATGACGGTGATGGTGATGCTGGAGGTGATGATGCGAGGATGATGATGATGATCACGATGATGGTAATGGCAGTGATGACGATTGTGATGGTAATCAGGGTGATTCTGCTTATGATGGCGATGATCGCCGAGGAAAGCGGTCGGAGTAATTAGGCTGCCTCATGCAGCGCAATAACTCAATTTTCGGCTGTCCGGTGCGTGTTGGGGACGGCGCCAGAAGCGCCGCCAGGGGCCTGGGGTTGATCCAGCGCCGACCCAATGATCGACGGCGCGCCGGGGGGGATGTGAGGGGGGGCAGGCCTTCTCAGAAGGCGGAAGGCGGCGGGGCCGATCCTTCTGAGAAGGCCCGCCCCCTCTGCATTCCCCCTGGGCTCGCCGCCGAGAGGAGTCCGCGCGGACCTCCAAGAGTTTGCGCCGACGAGCTCGGGCGGCCTCCCGGTGGCCGCCGATGCCGCGAGGCCAGGGAGCTCGGGGGTCTACGATCAGTTCTCGTCGTGTCGACCGGCGGCGACCCCAGGGCTGGCGCTCAACGTTGGAACGCCGCAGGCGACCCAGACTCGGTCGATGTTCAACGAACTGACGTTTCGGAAATGGCCGATCGTCCTCCTCCCCCTCCTCCTCGTCCTCCTCCTCCTCCTCCTCGTCCTCCTCCCCCTCCTCCTCCTCCTCCTCCTCGTCCTTCTCGTCTTCCTCCTCCTCCTTCTCCTCCTCCTCGTCCTCCTCCTCCTCCGCCTCCTCCTCCTACTCCGCCTCCTCCTCCTCCTCCTCCGCCTCCTCCTCGCTCCTCCTCTTCCTCTTCATCCTCCTCCTCCTCCTCCTCCTCCTCCTCCTCCGTTCCGGCGGGACCACGCCCCAGACATGCGACGTCCTGATTTTTTCAGGACGGCGTCCCCGGAAGTCCCGACCCTTTCCTTGGGGACGGTTTTCTTCCCGCGTCGTTGTTCGACGGTGCCGGGGTCTGTCGAGGGCCCCCAGGGGCCGAACATAGCGACAAATTGGCCGTCCTGATTTTTCGACGACGCGATCCTGTCTGGGCAAGGTTCGACGATCCCCGCGGTGTCAGGAACCAACGCCGGGGTCGACACGACACGAACCTGCCGTGACGGGCTGGGTAGGAGGTCGCCGCACGAACAGACCAGCTCCTGGCGGCGCGGCCCCCGCACGCTCCCGCGGCGGCGGCGGCGTGAGGCCACGGGGCCACGCTCCGCGGGGCCCCCTCTCGCATCGGCGGCGTGGGCGCTTATGAATGGGAGGATCTGGACGCCAGAAATGGGTACGGAAAGGATGGGCACAAAGCCCAACAGCAGTTCCTGTTCATTTTGAGCAGGGCTCGCTGTCCGCGCCGCCGCGGCCTGTGTCCATTCGAGACAGAAGGCCGCCTGCCCAACGGCGGCCGCTGTTGGTTTGGGACAACATTTGTTGCTGGGCATTGCACCAATTCTTTCCCTACCCATTTCGGGCGTCGTGGAGCAAAACAAAACAAAACGGCACGACCCTGCCGTAGGGGGGTCGGCGAGAGAGCTGCCCCAGGCCACCCGGGGCCCCAGGGCGGTGCACCGGCCTGGCCCCGGCCCGGGCGGAGGCGGCGCTGCTGGGGCCCAGGTGGGAGCCTTCGTCAAGCAGTGGCGAAGCGTCCTGGCTCGCCTATAGCCCTACCAAGCAGTGTTCTGAGGACCTTTTGTGGTTTCCACGAAATGTTCTCAGAACATTTATGGCGGGGTCTGCCGTGTTTTAAGCACATCGGGTTTATGTTCTAAGAGCATTGTTTTTGTTCTTAGAATTTTTTGTGGTTCTAAGAACATTTCGTGGTAGGACTATAGGAATGCCGGGACGGTCGGTCCCTGCTCAACTTCGGGGGAGCCTGAGGTCGGCGTCACTCCAACATTATTGCACTATGTTGTGATATGTGCGCACCGAGAAATCTAGTAGTATATGCGTCGTGGTGGGCGCTGTCTGGCCACACCGCTCGGGAAACGGTGTGCTACAAGATGGGTGTACTGCAGGTTCGGGTCGGACGCGCGCCTCCAAGGAGGACGTACACAGTACTAGTATGTCTCTGTGCGTACCATGAAGTGGCCCAGCATTGGTTCTGGCCAGCAGGAAGGGGGGGGGAAGCGGTTCGAGGTTCTGGCCTCGGGAATATTATTTTTTCTTTTGCGCATGTCTGCATCCGGAGACCGTTTTCGGGCCCCGGGACCGTGAACAAGTCGGATCCGGTGTGCAAGACTGCAGATGGACCCGCAGGGAGGAGAGCAGGGGACCGATTTCGAGCGGATGGGGCGTCCTCCCCCCCCCGTGGCCGATGTTTTTTGGGGGCAAGACAAACACACACACAACTCATCGTCGACTCCCCGGGAAAATATGGGAAACTGTGGGAAGTGGGGGGGGGGGGAGACGAGAACCCGGAAGATATGGGCACGTGCGGGGAGTCCTGGGATCTGTGTGCATGTATGATTCCGGGTCCAGGGTTCACAAGCCCCCCCCTCCCCCCCAGATGGGATGGAACCCAGGGTTTCACAAGCCCCCCCCCCCTCCCCCCCCCTCCCCCCCCAGATGGGATGGGGGGGGGCGGGACGACGACGACGACGACGACGACGACGACGACGACGACGACGACGACGACGACGACGACGACGACGACGGCGGCGGCGACGACGACGGCGGCGACGACGACGACGACGACGACGACGACGACGACGGCGACGACGACGACGACGACGACGACGATTTGTGTGCATTTATTGGTGTGCCCCTGGGCCTGGGCCCCTTTCTTCTCCAGGGCCCTAGGCAAGGCAGGAACGAACCCCCTG